GCGAGGCGTAAATACACGCGTTCGCAAGCTCGTTACCGATACATGCAATGCAGGTCATCCGCCCATCGCCACCAGTCCATCCAACAACCGTCCACCGAAGCTCACCAACACGCCGCCCGTGAGTCTCCCAAGGTTCTTTAGCTCCCTCATGTGTGGATGACGCCCTGGCGCTACCTGCAAGCCATATGATACAGCCACCGCGACACCGACCACAAGTACCGCGCCGACGACCGTTGGTTTGCTAAGCATCTTCATGCGCTTAGGCTTGTGCAGCTTCCTCCGCTTGCGCTTCCGGTCGTGCACCTCGTCAGACTCCCTGTCTTCTTCCTTCTCGTCATGCTCCTCAGGCAGCTGGAGGACGACCAGATGTGGCTGCAGGACCATCAACTCTGCGTCATCATCGCGAGGCAGCCGCGCAAGGTCTTCTGACCATGTGAGCATGACGCTCTGCGGTCCCATGATAGACGGTAGGTTCACTGACGGATCTGTGGGAGGGAAGCGAGTGAAGAGCTCGTCGGCGCTTTCTAAGAGACTCGTAATGTGTATCTTTGGCCGCCGGAAGCTGTCTTCCAGGGGCGACACGGGAGGCGAGTCGTCAGTGGCTGGAAACGGCGGCCCTGAAAGAACTTTGTCCTCGGGGGCAGTCTGGAAAGATCCGGCTGTCTCAGTCGAGGCATCGTGGGTGTGCCCTAACTTCTTGCTCTCGTCGAAAACCAGAGTATGATCTTCCTCTGGAACTGCAGGCAAGCTCGTCTCCGCTTCACTAGGAGACGAAGAGTCATTGACAAGTGTAGAGTCGTCTGGTTGTGAGGTAACAGACTCGTCTGGCTCGCTCCTTGTCGGAGGTGAACCGACCGTGTCTATTGAGTCAGAAACACCCGGGTGAGAGGCGACGAGCTTGCTGGGCTCAGCTGACTTTGACATCTGCTCATGGTCGTTCTGCACGTCGACTTGTGGCTCTTCTAGTAGGGTTGCAGCTTCTGGGTCCGCCACACGACCACTGACGGAAGGCTCGTCGCTCACTGCCTGAGTACCCTCCTTTGCTGTGTCCCAGGGTGGGTCGGCGCCGTCGTTCTCATCGTATATGTCTGGAAGGCTGCTCAAAAGCGAATGTATCATCCCTTCTTCGCCCTCCTCTTCCAGACGTCGTACTTCTTCTTTTCGTGATAACAACACCTACACCGAAAGTCAGGGCGCTACTTATTCAACCAGATGGTCACGCGTACTGCAGCTGCTAAATAGACAATTGCTACTGGTGGCCTAGCCAAGAGGTAATCGAAGACATGCTGGATGAGAGGTAGGGTCGGCATGTCGTGTGAGAACAAAGTCAGCAGGTTGGACAGCGCGAAGTACGGCAGCGGCGTTGCATTTTCAAGCATTCTAGCGTATTCAGAATCGGCTTCCTGAAGGACGCGTTGCAAGGCTCTTTCCCAAGAGGTCAGTAAGACGTAAGACCTCAGGGCGACTCCGGCTCGACATACCGTAGCAGACCAATCACAGGTTCTAAGCCAGAACCCATAGCATCTCGTAGCCGTTGGAGACTAAGCTTTTCGGCGGCCGGTAGCTGCAATTCTCTCGGTAGCGTGAGGTATAGTACCGATACGATATCATGGTATCCCTGCGCAATGCGGTCATCCCCCGCACCGCCCGTAGGTGTGCAAGCTGCTCACCTGGAAGTAGCTCAGCCTTCTCCGTCTCCTGAATACCTCCACAATGAGACCATGTAGTTCATTCTGTCTGCGCCTCCGTTCGTCCATGTCACCTAGTCCACATTACAGCTGTCAGCGACACTCGTCCGGCATATGCTGATGCAGAAGAGGGTTCACCTACTGGGTACAACACGAAGCTGCGGTCTGTGTCCAGCTGGACCTGTCGCTCATCTTGGTGCGGCTCCACCGCTTGTGGGAGGTCCTTCTCTAAGCTATCTGTCGGCGCAGCATCCGCGCCGCGCTTGACCGCTAGTTGCTCGAAAGGCTGAGGCTCGATGTTCAATAGCTGCTTCCTGCAGCGAAAGCTCATGAGAATCCCGGCTGAATCCATAAATATGCACATTACACACCATAGTTCCACTCTCTGCTCACGAAACCCGCCAGGCCGCAGACTGAGCTTCCGCAGGTGGTCCCAGTCCAACGACGGTTCCGCACTCTTTTCAGCGGCAGCTGGTTGCACTTTGTCTGTGCCACTCATAACTCGTCAGCTACGGGTGTAAAAGACGATAGGTAGAGAGTTTGGAGGGCGGATACGTAAGGACTAGAGTGCAGTGTTTGTGAACAGGACGCAAGATGGCTGCTGCAGTGCACCGCGTCGGCCGGCCGGCGTCTACTTGCAGGTGGCGCTCTGCAGTACGGCCCACGGCTGGCTTGAGGCCTGGAAGCCCTGAAGCTTAAGATGTGAAGCGCACACTTCCAGTGATACTCACAGTTCCACAGAAAATGTGTTTACAAGTAGGTACAGTATAGAGTGTCACGTTCTAGTTGAACTTGTCTACAGGATACATACGGTGCTCGAGAATAAATCACAGTTTATGGGGAAAGAACTACTGTAGAGACGCATGCGATACTATGAATGAGAAAGAAAGTGGGGTTCCAGGGGGAAGGGAGGAGAATGAAACTGGCACGCAATGGATACAAAAACACGATCATAACCGTCTATGTTGGCCAGAACAGAATCCAGATACCGACTCGAGCTTAGTGGGCTGCGCCATTTCCGTTAATAGAGCCATTAGCGCTGCCGTTAGTCGCAGCATCGGTGTTCTCGGCGGCCTTGCCTCGGAGCGAGTCGAGAATCTCCTGTGCACGCGCCTGAGTAGCTTCAAGAAGCGGGTTGACACGCTCCTGGACGTGGTCGCGGATCTTGTGAACCTTCTCGTTCAGCGGGTCGGAAGAGGTAAGAATGGAGGAGATGTCGGAAATAGTAGTCGTAAGATGCACGGAGATGTCATTGAAGGACGATTGGAGCTGGGTGGGGAGCGTGGCAGTGGATTGCTACAGTTACAGCAGCTGAGAACGAGCTTCATGATAGGAAGAAGCATGGTACGTACCTGAACCTTACGCAGTTCTTGAAGCATGGCGTCACTCACAGCGTGCACTTTTTCCTGCGCCGCACCGTAGCTCGATGAGGCGACAGTAGTCACCTGTTGTGCGGCCTCCGTAGCATGCTTCACCAATACATTCTGGGTCTTAATTTGGTTGATCTGCTCCGCGGAAAGCTTGACGAGCTGATCACTCAGGTCCTTCGAAAGCGCGAGGGCACGCTGGTATTGGTACTTCGGAGGTTCTGTGGGAGAGGCCGACTCTGAAGTCCCGGTCGATGAATAAATCTTCTTTACAGCATCCTGGAAGTAGTCGAGCACGGGTGCAAATCGCTGGACATACAGTCGGCATGACGTCTGATTGTGACCGAAGATCGCACATACCTGGTCGATACCCTGGACCACGGTCAGAGCAGGCGTTTTGACTTTTTCATCGATCGTCTTGTTGGCCAGGTCGCGTGCTTGGTCGCTGCGCCCCTTGAGGTCCTTGACGATGTCCCCCGTCGGAGTCTTGAACGGGTATGGGTATCGCGACTCTACTACGTCAAGTCCCTTGTTTGCAAGCCCCTCCGCGCGCACGAGAAGCGGGGCAAATGTTTTCTGAATAGGCTCCGTGTATCCGAACGCCGCTTTGGAAAGCCCCTGTGCCGTTGCATACGGCGAACGCGTGTATGGGTTCGTGGACAGCGTGTGGTGGATTGATTCAAGTGAGTCTGCGACTAACGGGATGGAGGCGACGCGATGGAGGAGGGTGTGTTCGGGCGCAGTAGACTGAGTCTGAGTCTCTGTCATCTTTTCGTTGCAGACGCGAGGAACTGAAGGTGGAGGAACAGACGGGAAAGCCTGGAGAGGCACGTTCGAGGTGAGATAGGACGCTTTTGAAGACTGCAGAGCGCATTCGCATGTGATTTCGCGCCGCTTCTATCTCCCACGCCTGCCACGTGCGCGCGGCGCGCGCTGATGCGCTTTGCCCCTGAGGCCTCTGAGGATTTACCTACCTTCACCTTCTTCCGCGAACCCCACCTCTGGATGGAACGATTATTCGGCAAAGAGCCAGCGAATTCGGGATTGCTTGCTGCCAGTCACCCTCTCCACACAGGGGCTCTTACCATTATCGCGCCTCAGAGGTCAGGTAGCTTTTCGCAACAGGCGCGCAATCTTGTTTGGACGATTTCACGCTGCTTTGTTTATCAGTACTAGTGGACCGGCTGAAGCTTGTCTCGAATGATGCAGAGTACACAGCTGCCCCCAGCTGCGGTCTCTCCTGAAGTTGCTCCTAACTCGCCCGGAACGCTATCCAACGGTGGTCATGGCGTGTATCATTCACATGTCTGCTGGCGGCTAAGGAAGCTAATCGCTGCTACCCTAGTCCTTTGGTTTTTCTAGCTCTCGGTCCCCACAGACTGACCTGGACAGCTCCTGCTTTGATCTCAATACATAGATGGTGGATTTTAGGCTCAGTGGCTCATCCAATCCCGCTTCTTCTCGGGCCGTGCGGCTGGAATACCAGGCTGCTTGAGCTGCATAGACACCATCAACATGTCTCAGTCTGAGACTGCGACTGCATTCCGCATGACGAAGTCGACCGCACCCGTAATGTCCTGCGATGCC